ATTCCAGGGTCCTATAGTTCCTTGGAAAAACTCTGGGAGCTTTGGGAATGAAATTTGCTACTGTCAGTTGCCAAACATTTCGGATCACAGACGGCTAAGTGGAGTCACTGGAATCTGCAAAGGTCCCTTTTTTGGTCATTTGAATGGGGACAACAGCGGTAAAAATAGGTGTGTCAGATTCCAATCTGCCCTGAAAAACGACAGAAGCATTATGGATTTACCTCATCCAGCATCACGGGAGATGTGTAGTTCCCCTTGAAATCCTTAGGGTCCAGCTGGCCTTATCCTGGTCATTTGCACAAGCTGGTTCGATTTTGAATGGGTCACTTCTTGTATTGGTTAATCATGGTTAATCTAACATATCTATACATACTGTATCTGACGTGAAAACGGACCATATTCCAGGGATATCCATTCATAAATGACCTGGTCGACTGAGATCAGACGAAGGCAAAGAAGAGGTCAGAGTTATGGGGCCGAGGGCCGCATGGCTGGTTGGTGAAACACATGTTATAACTGATCATTTTGATCATGCCAAGATGGTGAGAATGATTCGGACATATTCGGAATATGCAGATGAGACAAAACCTTTCAGATCTTTGAGCGTTTCACGGGATCAACATCCAAAGTGACCAGCTATGGAATAGTCTTCAGAAACAACTACCACGTTTCTGATCCATAAACCTTCTGTTTTTATGTCGGCAGACTGGGTACAGAATCAGTTTGTCATTCCTACATGTTACATACTATGTAAACATCTGTAGGTTTGGGGGCCAATGGCCCATCTACAACCCAGATTCCATCAAATACCCACTTCAAGACTGTCCATTTTGGTATTTCAATGTATTTCATTATGGGGTCCTGGTTTTGTCCAAAAAAATGCCGGCAGGAAAGCTTGATTCGTGCCAAAGTTGATGCACAACGCATGCAAGAGACCCTCGGTGCGGGATCGTGGGCCTTGTTTTTGTTGACCCCATTCTCCACTTGGCCTATAGTAATCCCAAAAAAGAGGCCTTTCAAGTGGAAAACCAGTGAAAAACGATAATGTGTCCTAATGTGTCCTCCATCCAGGTTTGCAACTTTTCCATCAACCTTGAGAGTTGCTATAGCTGACACCCTTTCTATGGCTTGCTAAGCTCAGACATCTTGGAATATGCTGGATGCAATCCAAAGAAAAGGTCCATGTTCTCTCCTTGAGAGAAAAACAACTTACCCAAAGACTAGGAAGGGATATGGGATGCTGTACATGTCCCACTTCCAGGAATTAATGTCTTGCCGGATTGTTCCCCTCTGAAAGTTGGGTAAACTGTTCATCATTCCAAAACTGACAGCTAGATTCCATTGCTGATGGGTGCCAAAGTCTGCCATGGTGGCTGTTTAACTTCAATTCTCAAAAGGCTTGATATGTCAGGCCGCCAGGCCTGGTGTCGGTGTTTTCAGTGCCGTAGCTTGGATAGCTGGGAAGTGATAAGACTGCCAATTGTTTACGCCGTTTGATATATATATATATATATATATGATATACACATAATATATATATATATGATATACACATAATATATATATATGATATACACATAATATATATATATATATATGTGATATACACATAATATATATATAAGATATACACATAATATATATATATATATTATACACATAATATATATATATATGATATACACGTAATATATATATATGTGATATACACATAATGTATATATATATATGATATATATGATATATATGATATATATATGATATATGTTATATATATATGATATATATATATATGATATATATGATATATATGATATATATGATATATATATATGATATATATGATATATATATGATATATATGATATATATATGATATATATGATATATATTTATATATATATATATAATAATAATAATAATAATAATAATAATAATAATAATAATAATAATAATAATAAATATATATATATATAGAATTGTCCCCAGTGAACATGTTACTTTCCAGAATTGGTCGACTCTTGTCAGGAAACTCCCATGTTCAAAGATCAAAAAAACATGGTTTCCTCTACAAAAAATGCTGCATTTGAGGCAGTGGATACAGCTGCTGGAGGGTCCTACAGGTCAACGACCCCTCTGTGAGAAGGAGCACTCGTCATGGTGAGCTGTTTGATGAAGGTTACGTACTCAGAAAACATCTTACCTGGATCCCTTGAAAACATGGGTGGTTTCCAGGCCGTTTTTCCCCACCTGCCAGGTGAGGGTTGTTAGATTTTATGTCAGTTGCCTCCTCCTGCCTCCTCCTGCCTCCTCCTGCCTCCTGCCTCGTCCTCCTCCTCCTCTCCTCCTCGTCCTCCTCGTCCTCCTTGTCATCCTTGTCGTCCTTGTCGTCCTCGTCGTCCTCGTCGTCCTCGTCGTCCTTGCTCAACTGCGACCCGCGATCCACAGTGTTCTCTGCCGGACCTCAACCACGACCACCCACGCCCAGTGTTCCCTGCCGGACCTCAACCACGACCAGCCACGCCCAGTGTTCCCTGCCGGACCTCAACCACGACCAGCCACGCCCAGTGTTCCCTGCCGGACCTCATCTGCGAGTATCCATGCCAAGTGTTCCCTGCCGGACCTCATGTAGGAAGATAAAATGTCAGATAGAGTGCCAGAAGATTTGCCAGGTAGAATGCCAGAAAATATGCCAGAAGATATGCCAGATAGATATGCCAGAAGATATGTCAGAATATATGCCAGAAGATATGTCAGATAGAATGCCAGAAGATATGTCAGAATATATGCCAGAAGATATGCCAGATTGAATGCCAGAAGATATGTCAGATAGAATGCCAGATTGAATGCCAGAAGATTTGCCAGATAGAATGCCAGAAAATATGCCAGAAGATATGCCAGATAGAATGCCAGATAATATGCCAGAAGATATGCCAGATAGAATGCCAGAAAATTTGCCAGATAGAATGCCAGAAAATATGCCAGAAGATATGCCAGATAGATATGCCAGAAGATATGCCAGAAGATATGCCAGAAGATATGCCAGAAGATATGCCCGAAGATATGTCAGAATATATGCCAGAAGATATGTCAGATAGAATGCCAGAAGATATGTCAGAATATATGCCAGAAGATATGCCAGATTGAATGCCAGAAGATATGTCAGATAGAGTGCCAGAAGATATGCCAGATAGAAGGCCAGAAGATTTGCCAGATAGAATGCCAGAAGATATGCCAGAAGATATGCCAGATCATATGCCAGAAGATATGCCAGATAGAATGCCAAATAGAATGTCAGAAGATATGTCAGATAGAATGCCAGAAGATTTGCCAGTAAGAAAATGTATAAATGTCATGGTGGGGATCACACGAAGTAAAGTATTTTTTTTACGTAGTTATGGACTATGTCCCATTTATAGATGATAAATTGATGATTTACCTGTCAAAGACCAAAGTTCCCAGAGGTGGTTTAACCAGCAAAAATGGTGGTTTAACATCGTTCAACCATCCTCAAGTAGGGATATATATATATATATATATATATTGCTGCTATGATATGATATGATATGATATAATATGATATGATATGATATGATATATGAAACACAACCCTGAAATGAAGCCATGATGAAGTATTGGATCTATGAATGAATTGGGTGGTATTTGATAGAATCGAGGGAATGGAGTACTTTGAAATATGTTCTTCATAACTGGATATACCATCTGGTTATTTAACATAGCCATGTTCAGTGATTCAGGGTCTATGTTAGTTTTGGGGACGGTAGCATGATAGATTCTGATAGATCATAGACACCGTTTCTTGGTTGTTGGTTTCAATCCTGGATTTTCAACCATAGACATTATGATCCCCTTGGACAAATATCTTAAGTTTTTCAGGTAGCAAAGCCACCGGCCAGTTGAATAGTTGAATAAGCTAGTAATATTAATCTTAAGTGAATCATCATGTGTTTAGTTATTTTCTTTTGTTTAAACTACATATTTGTTCAACCAGCAAAGCTATGAGTTTTTCACCACAGAAATGGGGACGATTCTTCCAGCTGGCCAGCATGAATATTTTTCGGAGTCGCTGACCACCAACATTTAAGGTTATGGTCCCATTATCAATGATAGATACCCTCTGGTAAATTAACATAGACCCTGAAAATCACCAATTTTTAATGGAAAGTAGTCTTCCAACCCCTATCTGCCAGGGTCTATGTTAATTTACCAGAGGGTAAATCACTATGAACATTTTATGATCAACCAAACAATTTCAGCAACTTTAATTATTGATTCATACCTAGCATAGATTGTTGATAAAGGTCATCCATCGCTAAAACTCCTGGCTCAGATCCTGGCTCGAACCAAAGTGTGAGGCCGATAGAAAGGAGAACTGACAGTATTGGTATTGGGATAGGATCCCATGATACAGTGGATGGAAGATGATGGAAGAAATCCTGCACCACTTGATAAATGATGATAAATGGTTTGTCCAATTCATCATTTATGTTCCATCCATAGTATTTTGTTTGGCTCTTGCAACTTGAGTGGCTAGATGCATCGGTCAAGGGACGAGATCTAAAGGCTGCAAGATTTGTTGGACGAATTCGCTATGGAAGCCATGACCCATTTACTTGGATGATTTACCTATTGAAAATTCTTTCAATGGTGTGTACTTTTTTTTTGTATGTCCATAGCTATGTTAGTTTACCAGCAAAAAAACATGTCACACATGATTTGTTTTTTAAAAATAATGTTAAATATCAGAGATTGCCATGAATAACTTACAGTTAGTGATCTGATCATTATGTCATTAGTGATTCCCATTGTTTGCTATTTTTATTGTCGTTGTTTCGAGATCTCCATTATTAGTGGTTCCTACTATTCTTACTATTGTTACTATTGTTGTCATTATGAGTGATTCCTACTATGGTTATTTGCAAATGTCTACATCTCCATGAAAAAACAAAAAAAACATCGCACAAAATCCATCAACGCCGCGAAGTGTCGCGCTATGAGATGGGAAACGGAGCGCTGCGGTGTCGTGAAGCCACGGGGCTTTTTCAGGGGAGCGGAGCTGCAGGGACCGCAGGGATGGTGTTCTATGTAAGTTTATGCCATACCCATAGGATCCATGTATGCTATATATGGTAACATTTACCATCAATATACCCCCTCTATGTTAGCATATATACCAGCACCGTGGATCCTATGGGATAGATATCCATAGTTAATGATGATAGACCTGATAGATATTAATAGATGTACTTCTGGAATCTTATAGACTTAATTATAGTTTTAACCAATATATATATATAGTAATTATATCGACATAGATATAGATGTGTAACAAAACTGTTCCCTTGAAAACCAACATTGAACAATATATCATGCGCGGAAATGGAGTAGTGACACTAGGTCAAATCCATTTGATACGTGAGTTGAGAAAGGCTTAATTCATCTACTTGGGATATGAATGAACTATGCTATATATAGAGGTAATTGCAGTTAGCTGTAATTATCACGAAAGGTAGCTCCAGAGGGGCTACCTTGAGTTTTACTTTACGAAGTAAAGGGGAGGGCGGCCAGCCCCGTTACCTGATTCTTCAGGAGATTGCTAGTCATTTTAGTACCCCCCCCCCTCCACACCTCCCACGCACCCTAAGAGCAGACTCAAAACATTGTAATTTACAGTATTTTTGTTCTTTTCGGATCAAGAAACCACATTTTGCTACATGGTGAAACCTCCGTAAATACCAGTGTTTTTGCTAGGTGCTGGCCAAAAAACACTGTAAATACCGTGCTTTTACTACCAGAGGCAAAAAACATCGTAAATACCGTGGTTTTGGGCTTCCGACCCGCCAAAAACATCGGTATTTACGGTGTTTTTTGCTCCGAGAGTTGCAAAAACACGCGAAAACACAACCGATTTGACGATTTTCGGCCACTACGGAACCGAGCAAAAACGCTGCAGGGGTAACACCAACACCAACAACAACAACACCAACGGCAACAGCAACAACAACAACGACGACAACAACAACAACAACACCAACACACAACGCACAATGCACAACGCACAACGCACAATGCACAACGCACAACGCACAACGCACAACGCACAACACACAACACACAAAACACACAACACACACACAACACACACAACACACACAACACACACACAACAACACACAACAACACACAACAACACACACACACAACCACACACAACAACAACACACACACACACAACAACACACAACAACACACCACAACACACAACAACACACAACAACACACGCAACACACAACAACGCAACAACGCAACAACGCAACAACAACACACAACAACACACAACAACACACAACAACACACACACAACAACACAAACAACACACAACAACACACCACAACACACCACAACACACACACACAACAACAACACACAACAACACACAACAACACACCACAACACACCACAACACACCACAACACACCACAACACACAACAACACACAACAACACACAACAACACACAACAACACACAACAACACACAACAACACACAACAACGCACAACAACACACAACAACACACAACAACACACAACAACACACAACAACACACAACAACACACAACAACACACAACAACACACAACAACACACAACAACACAACAACACACAACAGCACACAACAACACACAACAACACACAACAACACACAACAACACACAACAACACACAACAACACACAACAACACACAACAACACACAACAACACGCAACAACACACAACAACACACAACAACACACAACAACACACAACAACACACAACAACACACAACAACACAACAAACATCAACATCAACAACAACAACAACAGCAGCATCACAACAACACTAACATACCAACACCAACAACACGACCAACAACACCAACACCACCAACAAACCCAACCACACCAACAACACTAACAACACTAACAACACTAACAACACCAGAAACACTACCACCATCAACAACACCAACAACACCAATACCAACAACACCAACAACACCAACACCACCAGCACCACCACCACCAACACCACAACCACCACCAACCCCAACCACATCGCCGAAGCCTTTCAGTCGCTTTTACCAGACTCCCCTTCATATTTTTGGAAAGAAAATGGCCGCGTCGCTTTTACCAGACTCCACTTTATGTATTTTTCCCTCCCCTCTCCCCTTCATTTTTTCTTCGGTTCCTTTCTTGCTTACCTACCTTTCGTGTTCCCCCTTTCAAGTACAAATTTAATAGTTGCTTAAATCTAGTTCACTGATATACTTGGGCATTTGTTTTCCGGTAATCAAACGTGGCTGGAAACTGCTACTATGGAGGATAAAATGTGAGAACATCATCGAATACTACCTGACGGGTTTTCCAGCCATGGAGCTGATGGAGGGTACATCACCATTACAATCTAATTAAATCACCATGTTTGATGGTTAAAATTCCCTTAGAATCATTAAAAGCACCATGAAATCACCATTTTTTCACAGTCAAATCGAATCGGGCATTCCCCCCAACCCACTGGCCATGGCGCGCTGGTCCCAAGGCCGTCACGGACAATGGCGCGAGCTCGTCGTGCTCGCGCTGCGGCGCGCGGGTGAGCGAGGAGGCAGTGGCGGAGCTGCCGATCGATGACGAGGTGGTGAACTGGGGTTGACATGGGATTGTCCTACCCTCTGGTAAACTAACATAGCTATGGAAAATCACCATTTTTAATGGGAAAACTCACTATTTCTATGGCCATTTTCAATAGCTATGTTGGTTTACCAGAGGGTAAGATGAAATCCCATAAAAATGGTGATGTAACATACATCAAATGGTGATTTCATGGGATTATAGTGGGATTTTAACTATTATAATGTGATTTTCACTGGCTTATACCCTGTGAAGTGGTTACTGACTTGCATGTGCTTGTTATATGTTATATCTACAACCAACACTAAGCTCCCCAGTGCAAGATGGTTTCGACCTATTTCTGTTCAAGTTCAGGTTTATTGGGTGTTTACCACATTAACACTCATGAACTTAATACGATAGATGACCCAGTTAACACCCACTTAAGTGTACGTATATATATATATATATTATAATATTATATAATAAGTTAGTCACTTAGTAAGAATCAGTTTACTTATAACTAACTCACCAGAGTGAGGTAAACCCGATGCCGTAGTTACCATCCCCAATAGAGGTTGATGAAACTGGCCTAAAAACATCACTGGGACGATCATCCCACTCGGTTAATATCCCACTTGGTAAGTTGGTAACTTGCTAACTGGTTATAAGATCCATGGCATTTTTTTAGCAGTGGGATTAACTATTACCTGTTTTTTTTACTGGGATATAAAATCCCAATTGCTAACTGGTTATATATATATATATATCTGGTTGGTGGTTGGTGATGGTTTATGGTAGATTTATTGAACATATAAACCAACATAAACCGTAGAATTAACTGGTAACTGGCTATAAAATCCCCATTCAATGTGGGCTTCAAAACGCGGCCCCCAGGAGTCTCCCAGCTACGCCGCCCAAGTGCCCTCCACGGCGCCCGTGGCGTCCGGGATCCCGAGCGCCGCCGGGCTGCTGGCGCCGCCGGTGGAGATCCGAGGGCCCACGGTCTACGAGTTGGAACTGGCGCCGAAGGCGGGAGAGATCTGGAGAGCTTCGGAGATGGTGAAGCATGGGGTGTTTTGAGTGGGATTTTTGGGTTGGTTGGTTGGTGATAGATTGAACATCTTTGAAAATAGTGATTTAGTATGGGATTTAGTATGGGATTTAATGGGATTGAATGACCGTTGGGATTTCAAGGGAAATTGAGCATCGACAATCTAGGGATTTCATCAGATTTAAATTGGATGTGGATATAATGAGATACAACAACCAGCTCACCATAATTCACCATACTAAACGCTGGACCAAATACCCTTTGGAAGTGAAACGTGGCTGGCTGGGAAAACGGAACTAAGAATAGAGTCATGTTTGATTACGAGAAGGTAAAATCAATTTTGTGGCTGTTTTTAGGTACATAATATTTAGTTGTTGTAATACTGATCATTGTTGTAGTACTTTGTTTCTAATTACGGTTCAAATTATAAATGGAATAATAGTTGCATTTTAATCTGGTTGGTGGTTTGGAACATGGCTTTTATGACTTTCCATATATATATATATATTGGGAAAACTAATCCCAACTGACTCATAATTTTCAGAGGGGTAGGTCAACCACCAACCAGTAATAGTTGTCAACTCTTGTTACAATAATGGTTCATATACTTGGTTTGACCTTCTGGATGTGAGAAACTACGCTTAGTTGCCAAGCTATGGGATGGGGGACTCATTGACAAGGCATATTCAACCCTTACCAACATGTTTGAGTAAATTGGGTTGCTCAATTTTGTTATTGCAATACATCACATATAGGCAGGATAGATATTGAAATTTAAAAATTGCAAATCAAACATCGAGAAAACAATGAATAAATGGAGATAGATGGCAGCAATGTGTATCCTCCAAGTAAGGATGACATACGGATGACAATCTAAACGGAGGACAGAGTGCAGAAACTTCTTGCCCAAGTGGTCCATTGCAGATCATTGTAAGATCAACCCTTGGAAAAACCTAGAATTGTTGAAAGCTGTAGCTGCAAATTGGTCTATTTTGCGAGGAAACATTTTGAAGTTTCAAGGTTTTCTGACCCGTTTGGGTTCTGAGCAAATCGGCAGAGTTCTGAAACTGAGACTTATTTTGGACCTGAAGTTTGTTTTTTTTTATCATTGAATCACCCAGTTTTTGGGTAAAGATTTCGGAACCATTCCCAAACAGAACCATTGACGATGTTGGTTCTCGATATCACCGACTTCGTTAGAGAGTTGTCCAGATGCCAGTCAATAAAGATGTGATCAGTTTTTTTTTCAAGCAGAACCGGGGATTTTGTGTTGGGGAATATTTGATGTTTGATTTGGATTTCCAAATCAACAAGAAAGGTAACATAGTAACTGTATGGTAACTTCACAAGTTACCGGAAAATTGGTGCTTGGGTATCAACCGACTCAGTATGTTAACATCTTCACCACCCAACTGATGTGTACCAACCAAATAGGTTGATGTGTCTAGAATATGTCATGTCGTGTGGAATGAACCTCAGAATAGAGATGCACAATAGTTAATGTTATATTCCTGACAGATGTCCGGTCGGTTTTGGAAATTTGGATTCAAATGAGAAACATATGAGGACACCCAGTGGTAATAACAACAAATATAGCGATGCAAAATCATCCCTGATGTGTGTGTGTGTACAGATACAGATTAGTCTACTTGCGTCTATTTGCTGTGATCATGCTCGCCCAAAAGAAAGAACAGTGAATCATTAGTTATAACATTAAAAGGAACCAACTTGTCTACCTTTCCCCCAATCTCATTTGGGCATTTCCCCATTGATAGTACATCGTGTTTCTCGGCCATGTCCCACTGCCCGTGGTTTGGTTCCCAAAGTCCAGAATCTGTTTCAAGGGAAAAACAAGCCTCATTCCCACATTTAGATTATCCCTCGTTTCCTCTAGATGTTCCTTTTTACTGTATGGAATGCCGGTAATTCAAACTAAATAGTTGTGATTAGATGACGAATTGCCCCCCCAGTTGTAAGTTGGTGTATAACCGTATAACCCAATTTAGTTCGACATATCCACCATAAATCCCAGTTGGCCTTGGTTTTATAACCCAACTTCCCTGTCATTTCCAGAGGTTTCTGATTTTCCTCCATCGATTGCAGGTGGAAGAGATCACACACCACATGGTCACCATGTGCCTTCGGGGTGGGATGAGCACAGGAAAACCAGGAAAACCAACAAAGGATGGCACCAAAGATAGTTTTGGAACAGTCCAACATAGTCATAGTATGTCATAGTATGTCATGGTATGTCATGGTATGTCACAGTACCTTGTTTCAGCAGGACTTCACATGGTTCACCGCTGTTTTATTTGACATGACGATGTCGACTCCTTTGGTCACTCTCTGCTTTCAGTTAGGACAAACTGTCTACCTAAGCGACCCATGGGCCCATGGGTAGGTTTGAACGTGGGACTACGTTCCTAATGTTCCGTCGTGTATGTTCCGTCACGTTATCTCTGTCCATCGCACCAACAGGTCACAGAGATGGATAGAGGTTCCACGAGGGCTCGACAATGCCTTTCACCTGTTAGGACATGAAAATACATGAAATGGATTGAAATGGGTTTGTCTGAAAATTGGGTATCAAATTTGATGGTTGCCAATCATTTTCCCTATGAAAAACATTTTGATCATCTTGGGGGTATACCAGCATGTTCAGCCACACCCAAATCTTGAAGCCTCCTGCGGCCCGCGTTGCTGAGGTTGTGACGCGTTCCTCACTGGCTTCGCAATGTCAGCAACGTGATGCGCTGCTTGACGGGTTTGCCTGCGGAAACAAAGAATTCCGCTCAAAATTCATGTGGAATTGAAGGGTTTGTCTGAAAATAGGGTTCTCGAATATTGGCTTACTGTCACAGTCCCTATTCTTAGTGATGGCAATTTCAGGGGCGATTTTTCATTTTCAGACAAGCCCTCAACATTCCGTGGGACCGGGATGATGCCCATTTCTGAAAGGATCCACCAATTACCCCAGGTATTTGACCATCAACCACTTGACAAATGGTAAGGTAAGCCAAGAGCAATTTTACCAAAGCATTTGATAGACGAATTCTGTTCGAGTCTTTATCAACGACATTTCGGATGAGAGTCAGGATGTTTACCAGCACATTTCAAAGACATTTCGGGTTTGAAAGGACGCAACAGAAATAGTGACCAGTTTCCATTTAGTTTCCATTCAGTAGCCCTAATTTGTTGTTTGGAATGCCACTCTTGTCATTTCCTTCTCAGTTTCACTGGGAAAAAAGGGGGAACCAAAATCTCCAGGAGATCTGAGGACAACATCTAGAAGTACCAGCTGTTTTTGTTCAGTGAAGTATGGCTCTAGCCTCATCCCATAGTCTAACCCAAACCAGTGACGTATATTATTTCTTGACATCGTGACTGAGTTTGTCTGAAAATAGGGTACCTCCAAAATCTTGATAATCTTCCCCATTATTTGATGGAAGATTCAGGGTTTGGGATATGTTTTTTTCAGACATACCCAACTGCGCTTGGAGAATCATAATCACAATGTCTGTTGCTTGGTGATATCCCATGATATTCCTACGATATTGCCATATCTTTATAGCGCTGAATTTAGCAGCTGTGGTGATTAGATTACGTTTTTTGATTACATTTGTTACTCTTAACAGTTTAACATCTATTAACAATAGTAAGAATCAAAGTTTTAGTATTACAAATTTTATGTTACAAAAATTGTGGTGATGAACAATATTTCACAACCAACTCAATGTATTGCCAAACCAAAGCTATCATCAACTCTAAATCACCTGATTCCTGCAGGAGTTGATCGAAGACATCGAGAGTTCCAGGCCGAAAATTGGGAAACGGCTGGAGAACTGCCATGGTGGGAAAATGGTGATTTCACTGGGAAAAATGCTGGTTTTTCATGGTTTTTCAGTATCAGTGTAATAGGAAAATGGTGATTTTTTGCTCGGATTTTGTTGTGGGCCAAAATGGGATGAACATGGTTTTCTTCGATGTAAAAATTGCGCCATTGGGGGGTTGCTTGGATGGGTTTTCAACATTTATCCGGACCGGCAGGGGATCAGTGTTTTGCACCAAGAACATGATTGAATAGATATATATATATATATGTATGTATATATATATATATATTATATATATATATATATATATAATCCTTGTTCCCTTCACAATTAAAGGCCAGGATGACTTTCCTGGGAATTCCTGGGAATTCCCCATGTTTATGGCTTGACTTTGTTTCTTATTGGGATTTTTTCCACTTTGCCGTTATGGTGATCCCATGATATCCCCATGGGCCTATCCCCGTGAAATGCTTGCTTTGATAGCCTCATTGTTGGTGAAATCACCATGTACCATCTGGTTATGACTAACAGTTCGCCATGGAAAATCCACCCATTTTTAATAGGTAAACCATCTATTTCTATGGGCCATGGCTTCCATGGCTATGTTAAATAACCAGAGGGTAAATAGCCATAAATGAATTCTGAATTGACCATCGCGTGGTTGAAATCCCGATTTGATCATGTCATATTATTTCATATCATTTGATCTCGTTTCATATCAATTCATATCATACAATTTTCCCCAACCATTATGATCCATTGTCTCTCCATCATTTCCCCATTGTACCCTCTGGTAAACTAACATAGCTATTGAACATGGCCATCAGAAATATTGAGTTGTCCCAGTAAAAATGGTGATTTTCCATCGTTTTTTGTATGTTTACCAGACCCAGGTGATGTCACCGTTGTCACCGTTGGGATGTCACGTCGTCAGGTCTCGCTGCGCACGTCTGCGTGCGGAGCTTGTCACGCGATCCAAAGAGATCGCAGAAATGGAGGAGATCAGCGGCAGCCCTTGGGCCGGTTGGATCCATCGGGTGTCCCATGGGGGGTTTCCTAATAAGGGGGAAATATGAAATAGACTTTTTAAAACATGGGTTTCAGTTACTATATTTTTGGTTCCTTATAATGACTTGGATATTTGGATTTGACTTGGAAACCTCTAGACTCTAAATTTTATGGTTGATTGATTATGACATTTATCATTGGATTTTAAGCATCAAACATATGGGAATATGGTTGATATAGTTGATAAATGATAGTTACACAGCTATTTTTGAGATGTGTACATATTTTTAGCCATTTGAACATTGGTACTGGCACGGGCTAAGTAGTTATCGAAGGAAGTTTAGAAGTCAAACTTCTGACAATATGGACAGATGAAAAGCAGAGATGGGAAGAGTCAGAGAAGAGAAGAGAAGAAGAAAGAAGCTCAAAAAGAGAAAGTTTCAGAAGAAAGAAGATCCAGGTGCGCGAAAAGGTAGGAAAGTCGCGAAATACTGTGTTTTTCCAATGATTTGTGGCTCCGGAGGGTCGAAAAGTAGGCTCGCTAAAGCGACGGGTGCGGAGCCAGCTGTCCAAATCAGAGATGAAAAATTGCACGCTGTTGTGGCGCGAAGCACATTTGCAAGTGAAACAGCTAAAGACACCTCAGGTTCGGAGCACTTTTGGAAGTTGAGATGTCGAAAAAGTGCACGCCGTTGTGGCGCGAAGCACATTTCGAAGTCAAAAGTGTAAAAAACTGATGGGTTCAGACCACTTTTGGAAGTTGAGATGTCGAAAAAGTGTACGCCGTTGTGGCGCTAAGCACATTTCGAAGTCAAAAGGTTAAAAACACCACATGTACGCGCCACTTTTGGATGTTGAAGCGTCGTTTTGCGTGGCAGGCGCAAGGGATTGTGCACCTTGTCAAAAGTGAGCAAAAAGTGAGGGTTTGTAGCATGTCCAAAAACGATGGCATGCGTGTGGCATTTGAAGAGGATCTGCAAAGATGCATTTTCCGTGGCAGGCACAGTACAAGAGACATGTTCATCAGAGATGTTAGGAGGTCAGGGCGCTGATTTCCTGAGAGGGGTTGCATTTTGGAGCATCAGATCTTCAGGTTTGCGGAGATGATTTTGCGTGACAGGTGCAACACTTCGTATGACCTGGCATCACTTTTTCGTGGCAGGCGCAGTACTTTAGACAGGTGGAGTGAAAAAATCGCAGACGCATTGGTACGAGGCCGTCAGCTCTGCACTCAACTTTCGATTTTGGAAGGAAGTCTCGCAGAATTGCTTCGTTTTTGATGTTGTCAACTTCAAAAAATGAGGAAGTCTCGCAGACTTGCTTCTTTTTTGATGTTCTCAACTTCGAAAAATGAGGACGTCTCGCAAAATTGCTTCGTTTTTGACGTTGTCACGTTCAAACATTGAGGAAGTCCCGGGGAATTGCTTCGTTTTCGAGCTTGCAGATAGACAGATAGATATAGAAACAACTACAGCTGCAACTACAACTACAAGTACCACTACACTACACTACTACTACTACTACAGCTACAAGTACAAATATATACTACGCTGCATTACACAACACCAATTACACGACACTACACTAATTACATCTAATTGCACTACACTACACAAATTACACTACAACTACTACAACAGCAGCTACTACTACTACTACGACGACGACGACGACTACGACTACGACCACGACCACCACCACCACCACCACCACCGAACCACCACAACCACCACCGCCACCACCACCACCACCACCACCACCACCACCACAGCTACAACTACAATTACAGCTACACTACACTACACTACAATACACTAATTAAACTGCAGTACTGCAGTACATTACAGCTACAAATACAACTACAATTACAACTACACTACATTACACAACACTACCCTACACTAATTACATTACATTACATTGCGTTACATTACATTACATTACATTACATGACGCTACAGCTGCAACTACCACTACATTGCACTACACGACACTACACTACAACTACAATACACTACTTTATTTACACTACAATACACTAGACTACACTACACTATACCACGCTACAGTACACAACACTACAGCTCAGTACACTACAATACGCTACACTACTTACACCACACCACAACTACAAGTGCAACTGCAACTACACTACACTAGTTACACTACATTACAACTACAAAATACAACTCCACTACACTACAACTACACCTATGCCTACAACTACAACTGCACTACACCACACTACCTCCAGCAGTTGGGGCGAGGTGACCACTGCAACCATTGCAGCCACTCCAGAAACACAACTCCAACCACCTTTCGGTCCATCAGTGGATTCGCTCTGCCATCCGTGATTCACAAGAACCAACCTCTCCTGTAGGTTTACTATTTTTGAAACTTCCGCCACCGCCTTGCGTGGTACTACTGGTAAACAAACTTAGCCACTGCAACTATGGGGTGCGAAGTGCTGCCCGGCTAAGTTGGTTCAGTACTCAGACCCTCCAAGTACCTATTTTCAAATGGGCAAAAGTCTCAAAATAGTTGATGCCCCATACCGGGTTGCCCCCACCAGACTTGACAGAGTTACAATTTGCTTGCGGGCGCTTGATGGACGTGTTGGCAGCCGACAAGGGCACATGGAAGTTGGCACTGCGGCATAGCGTTCTCCGTGGGACAGAGCCAATTTGGCACAACTTGCGCCAGTTTTCCTTTTGGAAAAAGACACGCGAACGAGGATTTTTTCATAGTATGGAGGCCTTGAGAACCTCCACAAACATGGGAAGGCAGCAGGTTGGCGTGCCTTGCTGGAGCTGGTGCGAGGTTGATCTTCACCGCCAAAGGTGCCCAAGCTCTTTCTCTTTGGCACGTCTGCGCAGAGGCAGAAGGGTCTAGGCACAGGCAAACTAAGGCTTGTGGGGAAGATGCCAAACAATGTAAGTGTTGAAAAACCCTGCTTAATGAA